CACTGGGAGGGTGCGTGGCAGCCCAGCACCACGCTCGTGCCGGGGGCTCAGAGTGAGCCCAGCTCGGTGCAAAATGCTGCTTTGCTCTCTGCAACGCTCCTGCCAACAGCAGCTCCGCTGATTGCCTTGAAGGAGTGATTTATGCAACCGCTGCTGTTTCTCCTGTTCCCCCGGTTGCTCAGGGTACGTTCCACCGACCATCATTTTCCAGCGTACGCGCCCCGAGGCGCTGGGAGCACCCTCTGTGGTCGCTGCTGCTCCACGCCCCTCAGCGCCGGGCTCCGGCGTGCAGAGCGGAACCGCTTTGGGGCAAAAAGGTGGGTGTCCACAATTGGGCTGGGGAATTGTGACACCCCCCCCACCCCCCCCAAACCCCTTCCAAGGTGTTTCAGTGGAACCTACCCCACCTCGCCGGCACTGGGCAGGGCGGGAGGCGGGCGATGCGTCGGAGCTGCAGCATCTTCTCAGCCGTCCCGGGGCAGAAAGGAGAGGCAGCGCCAAATACACAGAGGAAATCTGGCTTTGCTTCAGCGGGGCCAAAGTGCACGCTGAGACCAGATCTTCTGTCTTCCAGGTTTATGTTATTGCAGTATGTCCCTTGGCTGAACTCTAAACCTTGTTACGCAGGAAATAATGAGAGCTCGGCGAAGATAAACGATCGTGGTGGACAGGACTACACCCCGGGTACCGCGCTGAATCCCAGAGGCGTGGGCTGCTGCTAAGGCCTCACATTCAAAATGATCTTCATGCGCTTTGCTGTGGGTTAAGGGGAGCAAAATAATCAAATAACAAAATTAGCAGTAGCCTAGGTTGAAATACAGGTGTAAGATGCACAAAAAGCAAGGCGCAAAGCCAAAGAGTTGCTTTGCTTTGTGTCGCCTTCCTCCTGCGTGTCTGTGGTCAGGAGGGTGGGTGAGAGCGAGGTTGAGGCAGGATGATGGGCGCAGGGTTTTCGGGGTTTTCTCTGGACCAGTTCTGGTCACTGCTCTTTGTCACATCCTCGGGAAAGTCGCTTCATCCCCCCGCTTCTCCCCCCCATCCTTCTGGATGGACAAAAGGTGGGAAGCAGGTAAGCTCTTGAAGCAAAGACTCTTAAATAGCGTGGGTGCTCTGGCCTAGGCTTAATACACTCTTCTAATACGTGCTAATAATAATAAACATTCATATAGATATATTTGTGTTTGGAGGAGAAAGGAAAAATGGTACTTTTATCACCGCAGACTTCAGAAAAAGGTGAGCTAGCCTTTGTTTTAATGGCTGGGACATCAAAAAAAAAAGGCAGGAAAGCCAAGAGATCTCCTCATGCTGAGTCTTTATGCAACCCCTGGTGAAAAACAAAATACCAGCTGAATAGAGAAAGCACAAAGGTCAAACTCGCCTTAAGTTTTATGGTCCCGTTGATCCGAGCTGGGAGTCCCCTGCGTGGTCGCTTGGTGCAACTCGCTCCTTTTTCTGGAAGCATTTCAGAGTGCGGGGGGCACCGGCGTTTGCTGCAAACGGTCGCAGTGCCGCGCTGAAAACGGCGGCTAACCTGTCCCTTCGCCTTTCAGGGGCAGCCTTCATTTTCTTCATTTTCCAGGGAAGTGGGGATAGAAAGCAGAGGGAGCCTCCGGGGGGACGAGCCACGGAGGCGTGAGCCCCCACCGTGGGGCAGCAGCGGTTGCGGGGCGGGGGGGGGGGAGCTCCCCAGGACCCTCTTTTGGGGACACAAAGCTGAAGCTGAGCAGGACGGGGTTTCTCGGTGGGGGGTTGAGGCAGAGCCCGTGCTGCCAAACCTTCCTGCGGCTGCAAACCCCTCCATCCCCGTCCTCCCAGCAGCCCAGCCTGGGCTCTGCTTGCTCAAGCTCAGCCCCGGGGCATTTCGGAGCATCCCCAGTCCCTGTGTTCATGCACCCCTGCAGCCCCCAGCCCCGTACCCTGCCCAGACCCCTGGGCACTGATCGCCTCAGCTCCCAGTGCACCCAGTGCGTGCAACAACCGGCCCAATATACGCCCCGCTGCGCTTATTGCAACCGCCAGTGTGCCCAGTGCATGCTCCAGCGCACATGATGTGCCTGGTGCATGCCCCCAGTGTGCCCAGTGCATGCCCCGCTGCACCTGTGTGCCTTCCCAGTGCGCCCAGTGCACGCTCCAGCGTGCTCAGCATGCCCTGTGCATGTCCCACTGCACCCAGTGTGCCTTCCCAGTGCGCCCAGTGCACGCTCCAGCGTGCTCAGCATGCCCTGTGCATGTCCCACTGCACCCAGTGTGCCTTCCCAGTGCGCCCAGTGCACGCTCCAGCGTGCTCAGCATGCCCTGTGCATGCCCCGCTGCACCCAGTGTGCCCAGTGCACGCTCCAGCGTGCTCAACATGCCCTGTGCATGCCCTGCTGCACCCAGTGTCCCTTCCCAGTGCACGCTCCAGTGTGCTCAGCATGCCCTGTGCATGCCCCACTGCACCCAATGCGCCCTCCAGCATGCTCAGCATGCCCTGTGCATGCCCCGCTGCACCCAGTGTGCCTTCCCAGTGCGCCCAGTGCACGCTCCAGCGTGCTCAACATGCCCTGTGCATGCCACACTGCACCCAGTGTGCCTTCCCAGTGCGCCCAGTGCACGCTCCAGTGTGCTCAGCATGCCCTGTGCATGCCCTGCTGCACCCAATGCGCCCTCCCAGTACACCCAGTGCACGCTCCAGCGTGCTCAGCATGCCCTGTGCATGCCCCACTGCACCCAGTGTGCCTTCCCAGTGCGCCCAGTGCACGCTCCAGCGTGCTCAGCATGCCCTGTGCATGCCCCGCTGCACCCAGTGTGCCCAGTGCACGCTCCAGCGTGCTCAACATGCCCTGTGCATGCCCTGCTGCACCCAGTGTCCCTTCCCAGTGCACGCTCCAGTGTGCTCAGCATGCCCTGTGCATGCCCCGCTGCACCCAGTGTGTCTTCCCAGTGCGCCCAGTGCACGCTCCAGCGTGCTCAACATGCCCTGTGCATGCCCCGCTGCACCCAGTGTGCCTTCCCAGTGCGCCCAGTGCACGCTCCAGTGTGCTCAGCATGCCCTGTGCATGCCCTGCTGCACCCAATGCATCCTCCCAGTGCACCCAGTGCATGCTCCAGCACATCCAGCATGTGCTCCTGTGCACACAAGACCCGCCCCCCCCCCCCCCGAGTACGCTGCCCAGCAGGACCCCCGCTTGCCCATGGGACCCCCACTCGCCAGTGGCCCCGGGGGCTGCACGTGTGGCAAACTGGCCAGGGTGAGACAGAAGCCCCCATCAGAAGCTGCTGCTCGGGTCGGGGGGGTTCTTCACCCTAGGAGGGCTGCACTGGGAGCCAACATGTAGTTAATTAACCCTGGTTAATGAAGCTCATGATTAGAAGTGAATTAATTAGTGGGTAGCTGCTTCTTCAGCCCACGAGAGGGCATTGCTCCCCGGGGCCTGGCTGGCTGGCTGCAAAACTTGGGGAAAAGCAGCTTTCGCTTTTTTGAATTAGGAATTGCATGACGAATTCATTCTCTTTTAAAAGTTTCCCTAAGGGTTTGGTTGTTTGTTTTTGTTTTTTTTTTTTTTTTTTTTTTTTGTTTGTTTGTTTTTAATTTTGTTTTTGTTTTTTGTTTGTTTTTTGGTTTTTGCACTGGGGTATAACACTTGTAAACATCCTTCTGTGCATCCAACACTTCCTTTACAGCACTGAAGCGTCACCGGCTGCAACGCCGGAGATGCGCAGCCAAAAGGAGCCAAGCAGAACGGCGATACCACCTCCTCCTCCTCCTCCTCCGGTCGCAGAGACGGGCTGGTGACAGACCTGGCTGTGCCAAGAAGAGCACCCAAGAGGGCTGCTGGTGTCGGGCAAAGCGTGGTGATGCTGGAAAAGAGCAAGGAAGGATTTTCCCAGTGCTCTGCGGCTTGCTGCAGCTCGGGACACGCTCGGCGGGAAGTTGGTGTTGGCTGGGGAGGGATCTCCCCACGCTGGGACTGGTGTTTTCTCCCACCCAGCTGCTTCTCCTTCTTCCCAACTCCTTTTTCCCAGTCTCGATGCAGCAGGGAGGGTGAGCAGGTGAGATTTGGCGGCAGGAACTGGGTGCTGGGCTGCCTTCCCCCCTGTGACAAACCCCCAGCCTTCCTTCGTGTCCAAACCCAGCAGCGCTGCCAATAGCCAAGAAACATCAAAAAAAAAAAACAAAACAACCCAACAACAACAGAAACAAAACAAAACAAAACAAAAAAACACAGAGAAACAGCCACCTCCAAACATCCAGGTGTCTTCCTGGAGCTTAACAGCAATGAGTCTGGTATAAAAACGAGACGGAGCCCAAACTTAATCTGATCTAATGAGCGCTGCTGCGGGCTCCCAGGCAGCAACCTGTATTTAAGCGTTAATCAGCACCTTCCTCTGCCTCGGAAGATGAAGGTTTTTCCCGAGCAATTCTGCAGCAAAGCACCAGCCCCGCAAGCAGAGGCACGTCAGGGCCGGCCGGGCAGCAGGCAAGTCTTTGCAAAGGCCAGGCCTGCTCGTCCTCGGGAGGAGCAAACCCCGCGGGACACCCAGCTCAGGCTTAGAAATAAAAAATCAAAGCTGAAAAAATTAAAACAGCGGTAATATTATTCCTAAAAGTCTTTACGCTAGTGCCTGAGACTCATCAGGGAAGGTGCTACAGCTCCCCAGATCAGGAGACACCCGATGCACTGCTGCTGTGTAGCATGCCTTATGTCATCATGATGTCACACCAGCAAATAATGCCATTATACCTTAAAAAAAAAAAAAATGGAAAAAAAAAATCGCTTTCTAATGGGAAAGTAGGTCTCCCATGAGCTGGGAAAGCGCGGGGGGGGAAGGCACACCGGTGCGTGGCGCTTGTTTGAGGGATGCGCGGGCCCCCGTGGGGAGCTGATTTTAAGGAGAAAACGGGGGATTCCGTAAAAGAAAGGAGCATTTCAGGAAGCGGGGAGGCCCCGCCCACCGCCCGCGATCGCCCCGCCCACCGCCCCGCCCGCCCGCCGGGGGCGGGCGGGGCGGTGGGCGGGGCGATCGCGGGCGGTGGGCGGGGCCAGGCCGCCCGCTCCGGTCGCCCGTGGAGACGGGGCTGAGGGAGAAGGACGGGAGCGGCGGGCGGTGAGTGTCGGGCCGGGCCGGGCCGGGCCGGGAAGGGAAGGGAAGGGTAAAGGAGGGGGCTCCGGGCCCCGGGCCCCGGCCGGGGGGCTCCGCCGGTGGGGACAACCCGCAGGGACTCGGGGGGAAGCGCCAACCCGGCCCCCCCCCCCTTCCCCTCCTCGGGTGGGCCGCGGGCGGTGCTGGGCCCGGCGGAGCGGGCTGGGCCCGCGCGGTCCCCGAGCAGTTTTTAGGTTTGTTTGGTGTTTTTTTTGTTTTTTTATTGTTTGGTTGGTTATTTTTTTTCCCCTCCCCTAGCTTTCCTGAGGCGCGGTCCCGAGTGCTCAGCCCGGAGCCGCTTTGGTGCAATTCAACAAGTTGCGTGCGGCTCCAGAAAGCAACAAAATCTCCTCTCTCTCTATATAAAAAAAAAAAGTAAAAATAGGCCTTTCACTTGAAGACAGGGTCTGTTTAGCAGCACCCGGCCTTCCCACCGCCTGCCTCGGTCCATCCAGACCTTTTCTGTGACCGGGATGGGTGCCCAGGGTTGGGAGTCGGAGGCGGCAGAGGAGCAGCTCCGACCTTTGGAGAAATAATTGAAACTTTATCAGGTTGAATGTTCCCGCCATTGGGCTATGGGCTTTGCTGGGGTCTCGGCGCTCTGCTTGATGGAGGAAGTTTCCCATGTGCGAGGAGTTGTGGGGATTAGTGTGGGAAGGAGTTTAATTAGTGGCAAGCGTCATTATTCAAGGAGGTTTCATGTTGATACTGAGATTACACACCCTGTTGCCGTAATGAGTTTACTTTAGTAACTTTTAAATTGTAATACTCTACTCCAAGCTTAAATTCTTTACTATTTTGGGAGGGGGGGAAGGGTATTTGGAGTGGATATTGTGGTTTTAGCCTTGTGCTGTCAGGAAGGAGGAACCGTGCTGGGTGGATGACCGTCTTGGCCCATCCATCTCTGTCCCCCCTCGCCCCTCTGCGGGTTTGGGGGGGGACACCAGGGTCTTGTCACCCCCGGAGGAAGGGCAGCAGGACCCGCGCTGGCATCTGGCTCCGAGCTGAGCTGGGGGGGGGGGGGATTTGTCACAGCAAACATGATGGGGACAGACAGTGGGGTTACTGCAAGGCAGAGGAGGGCTCGGGAAGCCAGGCTGAGTACGTAGGAAGCTGGGCCTCGTTAGTTCTGACGATCAGGAAATGATTTGATTAGTGTGGCATATCAAAGTGAATTCACAGTAATTTGCCAGCCGGCATTTCCACTGACTTAGAGCTAATGGCATCAGTGACAAGTTACTTGTTTGCGTTTGTCTCCGTTATAAATTGGTTTAGAAATAACATTCTGTGAGTAAATAGCGAGTACGGGACGGCAGAAATGTTTTATGCTACTCCAGTACCACTAAATGAGATTGAGGGATTAGTATGCAGTTAATGACTTCTCAAGTGTTTCATCCTTGCATTAAACGTACGGCAGTCATTCAGGATATCTGTAATCAAGCACTAAAGCAGCACGTGAACTCTGGAGGAGAACAATGGATGGGGTCTAGTGCTGCAGCCAAGCTCGTTTCACAATCCCCCAGCCGACGGGACCACCTTCACTTAAAAACAAAGCTCTCCTGCTCTTTGGAAAAGTTTCTGAGGGTTCCCAAACAGCAGTCTCTGGTCTGAACCACTGCCAGCATCTCCCATCTCTTGCTGGCACTGTACTTAAATGCAAATATTGAATTGTACTGTAGGTCTCAGCTACTTCTTTTGTTTCAGACGTATGTCTCTGGCAATATGCTAACTTTTTATTTTTTTATGAATGCTGAAAGTTCTTAATTTCTTAGGCTCTGTTCATCAGAAGACTCGGTATATTTGAGCCAGATTCACGAGTAGCTCTCTATAGGAAGGTCTGGAATGCAGACAGTAGCGTGGTGATGGCTCCACAGTCCCTTCGAGTGTTGCTGAAATATCGGGGCTGTTGTGGAAGATGTTAAACACAACAGCTCTGTGGGATGGGAACATTCTTCCTTCCCAGGCACGGCTCCCCGAACAAACCCCGATGCATCATCCTTTGTTTAGGCTCCACTGCAAAAGCAAATTCAAATTACTGCAAAAGTTGGTGGTGCAGCCCCATAAATCCCCACCTCAGCCATTTCTTTTTCTCCCCTGCACCAGAGCAAAAATTACCACATGAGCTGACTTGAAGGGGCCGGAGAGAAATACTTTCCAAGCATGGGAAACACCACCACAACCTTGGCCAAGCTATGGGAGCAGTGTTCCTAGGAGGATTGTATCGCTGCAAACCCCTCGGTGCTTACAAAAAACTGTAGAAGTGGGTAGGGGTTTGTGAGGCTTGTGTTCTAGCACAGAAATGCCCTTATTGTGCCAAGGTAGGAATCAGTAGTGAAAGTTTCCTTAGCCTTAATGGAAGCAGAAAGCGAGTTCCCCCGATCTTGAAAGTAGTTGTAGACTTGGTGTTTCATGGGAAATTGAAGCTGCAGATGTTTGATGACTCTCGGGAGTTGCTCCACATTAATCACTGCTGGAATCGCACAGCTATTTTCTGATTTTTGTAATATTACACAACTAGATCTCATTTTTTCAGAACCTGAACGTTCATCCTGCATTCAACACTCTGGTCTCTTCTGGAATCACGTCTTTTCTGCTCTCAGCAATAACTTGTAGAGGAATACAGAAGGGGTACGGTGCACCCCGCATCCGGGGGGCCCCCAGGCAGCACGGCCTGCCAGCGTGGCCGTGGGTGGTTCGTAGCTTTGAGATGTTCAGGGACACCATCGAGGGTATATTTTTAGTTGTGTTCCTTTGAATATCTGGTGAAGCAGGCAATGTGTTTATATTCAGCTTCCTGTATCCGTATCAGTGTCTTGACATGTGATGGAGTTAGAGTAAAAAAAAAGGAAAAAAAAAAAAAAAAAAAAAAAAGTGTTGTAAGGATTATTTGTATTGCGGGGTGCAGCCTGCTGTGGGTCCTGAGCCCCCACACAAGGGGTGGTACCTGGGTTGGCTCCCGTGGGCTCGTGCATCAGCCTGGGGTCATCTTGTTCGAACAGTCAGCTCAACTTGAAGCAGGAGCCAGGCTTGCTCTTCCATTTGTTTACCCCGTTTTTCTCCCTGTCCCTTCTCCCGTGCCTTTACAAACCTGCCGTTCGGGGACAGGTTTACTTTTTGGCACGTTTTGGTTTTGGATGTACTCTTCCCCCCGCTGTGCCTCTGCTCCGACACGCAGCAGCCGCTCAGAGCCCTCGCTCGCCATGCGGGTCGCGATCCCCCGACATTGGCTTTTTGAGCCTGCAGACGCGGCCGAGCAGATCTTTGCCCTGGAGGGGCAGGAACTGGGCGATGGAAAAGCCGACAGCAAACGCACATGGGAGCGGGTGGCTGTGTTATATGTCGGGGAGGTGTAGGATTAACCATGGGGGAGAGAAAAAGTTTTACGGTGGTTTAGGCTGAGGAGAGCAAAAAAACCTCCTTCCCAGTTTATTTCGTGAGAAGATGATGCTTGGGAGCCCACGCAGCCACTGCTTACCGGCGAGGTGTAAAGGGAGGTGCAGGGTGTTCTGGTGGGGGACTGGTGGATATCATTACGAAGGGGAAATATGGGCTGAGAACCAGGAAAAACTGTCATGGCTATGAAAGCTGGTGTCGCAGGTCTGGCGTGCGGAGCAGGAGCTGCCACGGCAAGGGCTGGGAAGCTCTGCAGGAGGGGACGTGGTGTGACTGCAGGGTGTAAAGGTGGCCCCGGGGGGGAGAGGCCTTGTTCAGCAGAAACAGGCATTCTAATTGTTTATAAGCCTTAATTTAAAATTGATTGTGATGTAGGAAATCCGTCTCTCGAAAGGCTTTTCCTGAGCTCTCTGTCCCTAATTGGATATGTTTAGATTTCTGTCCTCTGCTGTCAGGTCTTCGGGTTTAAATTTTCGCAGCAATTGGTGCAGTCTCCAGTTCTGAGATACTTGATGTATCTGTGTACACCTTTTCAGCTAATGAAAGGGAGGAAAAAACCCATTCTTTGCCATGTCATTAATCATCTCGGTGAATAGCCAGAGTATTTCCAGAAGAAAATTTCCTTTCTGCTTTTAAAAATGAAATCAAGCAGATACCGAAGGCATTGACGCCGTTTTTTGTGTGCTGCCATATCACAGTGAAGTGCAAGAGGTATCTGTCCCAGGGCAGGTCATTAGAGTTTGCGTTAGAAAAACAAAGTCCTTGTGAAGGATCCCGAGCCGTAGTATGGTGCAGCTTTCCAAGTGTTCTCAAAATCTTCCACTGCTGATCTTCCTCTCCCTTGTTGATCCCGCTCTTCAGTTGTCCTTATTCAACACCGCCAGCCCAGCTGGCAAGAAGTTATCGTCTCTGGAAAGCTACACTGTTGTAGGAAATACTCGAGGTGAATGTAAACCAGCATGAAATATGAACTTGCAGTCATGTAGCAGTTCTGCAGAAGCCCAGGAGGCTTTTGTTTCTGAATCAAAATAATTCCCCAAGCATCTCCAACTTTATTCGCCAGGAAATTCGCTCCGTCTGGGCTGCGGAGGAAGAAGTTAAGCAAAAGCCTCAGACGTGAGAGATTAAATGGAAAGGGTTTGTTATTTTTGTTAATGAAAAGCCATAATCTTTCAGCCAAATTCTTGTTTTCCTGCATCATCTTGCTCTTGTAAGGCGTGCTACAAGAGGTGTTATGTTCTCCTGTTGCTTGTTTGTGCAGCCGTCTGGAGTGTGTTAAACCACCCGGGTCACTGCCCTAAAAATGTAAAGTTGGTGCTGTTAGAAGTAAAACAGTCCGTTTTGTCAGTCCTTGCTGTGAATAAGTTTGAGCAGATCCCAAAATACATTCTCAGCTGTGTTTTTTTAAGATTCAAGCCAGACAAAAAAAAAAAAAAAAAAAAAAAAAAAAGTCAGGCTTTTGGGTCTAAGCTTGGAGCAGGGATAAGCAGAAAGTGGCGCTGATGGTTTCGGGAGACGGACCATCTTCTTCCTGGCTGGATCTGGTTTGTGTTGCTGCAGAACTTGGGAGGGATCTGTCCCGCGTGGCGGGGATGCTCTGGCTGCTGCCCTTGGCCTGAGGGTCTGGGCCGCCTTTGGCAGCGAGAGTCCCTCGTTTCTCTCTCCCACGTGCCCTCCCCTGATTTATTCCTTCCCGAGGACGGCCTGACCTCTGGGCGCTTACGCTCCAGCTATGCAGCGTGGCTGAAGGAGGGGTTTGGAGAGGGTGCATTACGCCGGCCTCAAACTATGCTAGTAATGTCAGCTTTGTGGGGTTTTATGACTAATTTGATAGGAGCTTTGATTAGGCAGGAATAGCGAGTCATTATGGCTCTAGGGTGGAAAGCGGCCCCTACGAGCCATATTTATTTTTTAGCTGCATTTAAAGATTGTTTTGACCGTGTGTTTGATCTCCAGCAGGAAGCAGAAGTCAAGAGATAAAAATTTTTCTTACTTTTCCTTAACAATTTTCAGGGGATGCGACCGGGTTGAGAACTTGCACAGCTGAGCAAAGCAGAAGCTCTTCCATTAAAACCCATATTTTGCACAGCACAGTTGTCACGTGTATGTAAAGGAGGGTTATGCGCTGCATTTATTTTTGTTTCCTTGTTGTCTGTGAGAAGCACAAGCTTGGCACTGGGACAACAAGGACTGGCTGCAGCGAGGCAGTCTCTTTTTTGAATGCAATTTATTTTCCCCCTCCATACACTGATTTTTAACAGCAGCTATTAAAATTTTGATGCCGTTTCCAACACGGGAAGTGCCGTGTGATTTATAAAGGAGATGCAGGCAGTGCTATGGGCTGGCAGCACTTCTCTGCCTTGTTAAGGACCATCCCTTGGGAACTTTCTGTGCTTTTTTCCTCTCGTTTCCTGGGAATGGAATTGCTCAGGCTCCTCCAACCCCCCCCCCCCGCGTCGCTGCCTGGGGAAGGCTGGGGGCTGCGTGCTGCCGCCCAGCCCCTCTGCTAAACCCTTTCGTGGTCACTCTGTCCAGCCAAAAAGCAACAGCCACCCTCTCCTGCATCACCCTGGATTTGGGAGGCCGGGTGGATTTGGGAGGCCGGGAATTGGCTCTACATTTCGCACATACCAGGGCTGGTAAATCTCGGAGCTAATTGCGTTCTTCGGCCGGTTAGTGAGCAGCGCCAGGGCTCTGCGCCAGATCTTCGCCGGCCATTTGGCAAATGACAGTTGTTTTTCTTCCAAAAAGTGTCAGTGGTGATTCTGGATCCTGCCATCCAGTGGTTAATGAGTTATCTGTGCTCCAGCTGCTTTGCCAGCTTAGTTAAAGCCCGGTGCATGTAAGCTGTGGTTTGCACCGTACTTGACAGTGGGTGTCTCTACAGGGATACAAAACTATATAAACACGCAGTATGAGCTACAGGAAAGGTTAACATCGCAGATACTGGTCAATGTTAGATTATTAGTTGCTCTTCTAGAGCTTTATATACATATTTGCACGCCCATGTGTACGTTGCACTGAATGTGTACACCCATAGACTTTGGGCAAAGCAACGAGACTAAAGACAACTTTATTTGTAAATAAAATCCCCCTTCTAGCTATCGCAAAAAGCATGTCACCCCATGTTTTTTATCACCTTCTCTTTTACCCACGGCATCAAGGCAGCCAACTTGGTTTGTGTTTGTATTCTAGGTAGATGTTTTTAAACAAATAATCATTTGTGATCTTTCAGGTGTTCTTCAGGAGCTGTTTCTGTCCTTGGCGATGCTGAGTTGTACATATGAGCTGCCCAGTTCAACTATCAGACATGACAAAAACTTGCTTCCCTCATTGAATTTTCATTGTCATATAGTTTTAGTTTAAAATTAGTGTTTAATACACTGAAAGCTTGAGAAGGGTGTTAAATATAGCATGCTCTGGATTTGCCAGTCTTCCAACAGTGAGTAGTATCTGGCGCAGGAACTTGCGTGTTTTAAGACTGAGCAAATTCCAAGTGATTTTTTTTCTGGGTGTGTATAGGCCTCTGTAGGAAACGTGGGCTCTCAGATTTGTTTCTCCTGTGATTTAAGCACAGCTGCTATAATATATCCGTGGAGGCTTACATCCCAGAGAAGCCTGCAGGAGGCAAAGCAATACATGTGCTCAACACTGGCTATGCTGGCACTTAAAGTAAACCTGCTCAGGGTTCTACCCCGAGTAGTTTAACTCGTTTTAAAGCCAGTAGCTTTTCTAACAGCTCCCACTGAACCTCATCTGCCGCAGGCCTGGCTGGGACCTCTGCCCGGGGAGCGTGGGCTCCGGGAGGAGCCGCAGCAGCAGTGAGGAGGCCGTGCGAAAAGGTTGCAGAAACTTGTTGACTCGCTGCCCGTTTGGGAGGTGGCCAGAGGGAATTGGCCACGCACGGCTGTATCCTCGGGAGGGGAAACAGGGGAGCTGGCCATAAGAAAGGTTTGAGGTCGATTTTTTTTCAGTGAGGCCAATCTCAAAATACTGTAATCTGTGACTAGAATTAAACCACAAGTGCTAACGCCTCTTAGCTTTGGCTGTCTTGCACTATGAAGTACTTACAATTTTTATTTTATTCTGTTTCAGGATCATTACACCGATAAAATCAAAGCAAGCCGGACACGGGGCAAGACAGCCTATGTAGGTGAGTTTCCAGTACATGCTTGTGCCTTTCTTTCAAGCAGAACAAAGCTGCATGACAAGTCCCAAACCCCAGTGATTTAATTTTGTTCTGGAGCAGAGCAAATACAAAGTACATGGCAGCTTTATGGAGGAGAGGCCCCAAGGATGCCACCGGCATCACGGTAGCCGGGCAGGCTCTGCATTTGCAGCTTGGTGTGGCGCTGGCTGCTGCCTGCTCTCCAAGGCACTCATTCACCTCCGTTTTTAACTGCCCAGCCACTCTCATGTTGAATATTAGGGGGCAGAAATGCTGTTTTGAATGGGCTGCTTCTCCCACAGAAATCAGGCTTTTCCTTGTTTATTCTACCACGTAGCAAGGGGCAGCGTGGAAGTCTTCCTAATTTCTGTATTTGCCGTGCTACACGTATATTGCTTGACCATCTCGGAATGCAAGTTCTTCCTATATTCACCCTGTTCTTAAAATAGGTACTTTGATAAATTCATGTAAGCCAGGTGCTTGTGAAATATTTTGCACCCTTTCAGTGCCTTTGAGCTGAGAACCACAGAGCTCCTCAGAGAGCATCTCCCACCAGCATCATCGCTTTATCTCTCTTTCAGACTAAAGAATTTGAAGGTCACGTAACCTGAGGGCAAGCTGGATCTCGTGACTCCCAGCCTGGTGCTTTAATCACGGGCCGCTCCTGCTTTACATGCCGTAAGATCATTTTGATACAACTAAAAGTCTCTTTGCAAATGTCTCTTTGTAGTTTATGTCTGTGTTTTCTGGTGTGAGTTGGCTGGATCGTGCCCTGTGGGGAGTAACAGGTACCTTCTGTGGAGAAACTGCACCGCAGCTCGTTAGGGAGCACAGGTTGTCTTTACTAAATCCTTCAGGCTGATGTCTTTAAAGCAACACTTCTCAGACGGTTTTTCAAAGTAACCTTGATCTAGAAGTCAGTTTTCATGGCTTTCATTTCTACTAAAGATATCAAAAGTTAAGTCAGGCAAAATTCAGAGGAAAATAAAAGCGGGTTTTTCCACTACTCATTTCCCAACAAGTAAATTGGGTTTGTCAGAATTACATGTATGGTGGCTTGCTTTGAAAATCAAATGTAGCCGTAGCCCAGTTTTGATCAGCAGGGTGGGACTGTGATAACTTGTGAAATGGAGATTATGAAGAAACACATCCTTAATTAAATCCCCAGAATGCTAAATCCAATTGAAGATCTCGGGAGTGGTCTGTTTTCTTTCATTTCACATTATTTGGGATTTTTATACGTTTTAGAAAGACTAGTTAAGACACTGGCAGCATTGTTTATCATTTAAAAAAAAAGATCTTAACTGTAAAATCTCTGAAATTTCTCAAGTGTAAATTCCCTGCAGAAGCAAACATCACAAATTGGTGATCCGGGCTTTAAGGAGCTTTTATCCTCCGTGTGCAGTGACGGGCCGCTCGCCCTTGGGGAAAGCAGGTGGATCTGCATGCCCAGGCTTCCCATCGCTAACCTAGCCCTAACTGCTGCACCTCCGCCGAGAGCTATGGATGGGAGGAGAGAGTTTGTTGCTGCTGTATCTTTTCTGCTGTAAAAATGGTTTTGAAATCAGCTAATATATACAGTAATCCAAACGAGGCAAACAGATTGAACAGAGTCGAGGCGTGCCGGTCCCCTGCTTTTAGACTTCTGATGTGTAAAAACCCTGTCTCCGTATCTGCTTCAAGCTCACGTCGTGTGTATGGTCTGTCCTTGTGCAGACTATATAAAAGACCAAGCAGCTGTGCAAACCAGAATCTTCTGTGCCCAGAAAATCAGAAGTTGGGTCTTCTGGGGCGCCCGAGTCTCCCCGGTCCCTTCCGTTGCGGTGCTGTGCAGCCCAAAGCATCCACGTCCTTTACCACCAACACTGTGTGGCGGCTGCCAGATGTTTCAGCTTTTCTATGTGCGTGGTCATAGCGTGATCCTCGAACACGCAAAGCAGTTGTCGGAGTTTGGGGGAGGATCTTGTTTTCTTTTACCAAACCCAAACTTTCTCGAGGGCGTAGGAGATATTTGTGCCGCCGTTGTGAATCTCGCCTGATACCTATTTTAAAATCAGGCCCTCCTCACCCCTCAGGACCCCGCTAGCCACCGCGGTCGCCGCTGCTACTAACAGTTTGGTTCATGGTAGCTCCAGAGGCAGGAGCAGAAACCTGCCACCGGTCCCCTGCGATGGCAGCTAGCACAGGCACCACAGCCTCGCTGATGAGAACTACCCAGGCCTTGGTGGGGGCCGTGCGGAGGGAGGGCGAGGGAGCAGGGTGCTGCTTGCAGCCCCCCCCCCGTGCCACCCCCAGAGCCAGCGGGGAGGTGGCAGGCAGTCACCGTGGTGGTTTTCCCTGGGAGATTTGCATCGCGGGGACTGCGTTCAGTGCTGCATGAGTGTCTCCGAGTCCTTCTTCTGGTAAGCTCTGGTGTGTCACACAACCCCGTCTCTCCTTTTGTCGAGTGTGGTATAAGTGTAAAGCGAGACGTGACCAGAAAGCATCTTTAATCCATATTTCATTTTACTACTCCATCCTGTTTCTTTTGCTGAGGGCAGGGCTCCGATGATTTCCTGCTGCTCGGGTTTTGTTTTCCACTCTATTTAGTAGCATAGCAGAAGGAAAAAAATTTCTGCTGGGCGTCTCGCTGTGGTTTCCACTGGGTGTCAGCACGGCCCCGCGCTGGGGCCGGGGTGGCGGGAGCCCTGCCAGCCGCCGCCGGCTTTCCCTTTGGCTGCACCCGCCGCTGGAAAAACGAGGTTGGCCGCATAACCGGCGCGAGGTGCTGGCTGAGGTGCAGCTTTGCGACGATGGGATCGCCCTGCGCAGGCGCGAGATGTTGGTGAGCTGGGAAGGGGCTGTTTTGCTGGAGGTTTCCTTCTCCGAGCGGAGCAACCGGTTGGAGCAGGAGGAGTGTCGAACATGCCCTCCTTGTTCTGGTGCTCTCTAATTAGGGTTACATCTGGGACAGCGGGTCCCTCTTTCTGGAAGATCAGCGTGGATAACTTTGTTAGTATTTACTTTGAAGGTGTGGATGTGATAAAGAGTGCTCCGGGAGAGGTGCTGCGGAGATACGGGTGCAGGGGTTGGTGTGGGCCGGGCTGTGTCCTGCAGGTCTGACAGATCAGGGCAGCACCCTGTGCTTCCTCCACGTCAATTCTTCCGCTCTTTTTTCCATGCTCTGTATGTGTCTTGGCTTCCCAGTTCAAAAATCCTTGGGCCTGCTGCCTGTCCTGCCAACCTGAGGCACCTCCTTCGGGCCCCTCAACTCTCTGTGGTCAATGGCGGGTGAGAAGCAGCACCCCCGAGGGCAATTTTGGGTTTCAGGCAGGCAGAGGCATCGCCTTCCTCCCACCTGCTGCTGCCATCAGGGACCCTGTGCGTCTCCCTGCAGGTCACCTTACTGGGCAGCAGCAAAAAGCCTGTGCCCGGTCCCGCTGCGCAGAGAAGATGGTGTTGGGGAAACGGGCTTGGGGATCCCCACCCCAGGCGGGAGCAGCTGAAGCCCTACACTGGGATGCTCGACCCCAGCGCAGGGAAGAGGAGAGCACGGTCTCCGAGCCAGCATCCCCTTTGCTGCGTGGCCGTGGAAAGGTGTGGGGGCGTGCAGGATCTGGGGGGGGCACGCGTCGGTGCTCGCTGGGACACCGAATGCTCTGCAGAAAACACCGTTCCCCTCCAGGCCTGCTGCAGAGCAGAGAGGCAAGCGGTTTGGCTGAGGGTAGTGCCAGGCACGTTGAGGTTCCTCCAACAGATTCTCCCCTTGAACACCTAAACATTAAAAAATCAAGGCCATGAAATATCACGACAGAGGCATTTTGACGCGTGCAGCCTTGTTTCTGTACGCTGACGTACCTGGTTATGCTACGCTGCGCCCTCAGAATAGAATTGTTTATTTCTGCACCCAGCTACGGCCTCTGATGCCAGCGTCGGGCCTCTTGGCTTGGACTCGGAGAGTTTTTAGGTTTCTGCAAGTCTTAACAAACCCACTCCCGAGCAGCCCCGTCTGCCCCGTAGGAAAACCGACAGCGTTCAAGTCCCAACCAGCCGCCAGCCCTCGCGCTCCCACACAGGCGCCTGGGAAAGCGGCACGTGCAGAAGCACTCGCAGCACCCGGGGAACCCGTGGAAGCCTTACACCGAAACACCCCACACCCTGCCGCTGCGCCCGGTGCACGTAGTAGTAGTGGTGCACGTAGTAGTAGTGGTGCACGTAGCCCACAGTCGTCCCAGGTGCCGAAGAGGGGCTCTGGCATCACCCCCTCCTTACCGGGGGCCAACGCGGCTCCTTTTCCCCGCTCTCCCTGAGGACCAACCTCGATTGTAGCTGCTGGTGTCTCTCCCCGTGCAGCTTGCAGCCCCTTTTCTTCTCGCTGCCTTGCTCCTTCCAGCCTGTGCGTGGTGTCCTGCTTAACCAGGCTGGGGGTGAAGGGGGAGCTTGCCTCCTGCAGCGCCTGTTCCCCCCCCTACCCCCAAAGCAGACCGCTGCATGGTCCGGAGTAGGGGACTCAAAGTTTGAAGGTCTGCTGGATAAGCACCGTGGTGTTGCTCACCGTCAGGAGTGGGACAGAGCCTTTGCAGAGGGGCTGCAAAACGCTGCCTGGTTGGGGGGGGTGGGAGGGGGGTCACGTCACCCTGCTGAGGAATGGGCCATAAGCTCCGGGTGGCAGCTCGCTGAGCTGTGCCAGCTGTGTCCCGGGCAATGGCACGGCCTCGGGAGGAGCGAGGAGCTTTATAGAGCAAAATCAACCATAAAAAAATGCCACCTTCCTGCCCGACAAATCCACTCTATTTTCAGGAGCAAAATTGCTGACTTCAGAGATAGGCGTAAGCTCCTGGCTTTTTATTCCTGCCAGCTCTGGAGTGTGTAAGTAGGATTTGGGGTTTGATGGTGGGTTATTGCCGAGTTGTTTGCAGAGTCCCAGCTAACAGCAGCGGGGGTGAAGGGGTGCCGGGGAGGGGGGTGTTGGTAAGCAAGGTCAGCACAGAATGGTTTTGTGGGCAACGTTGTGAAGTAGTGGGGAGCTGTTGGTGTAACTTGGCGGGCAGAGTGTTTGGTGGTGGTGGTGAGATGCAAACCAGATCCAGCTTCAATCTGTTTCAGCAGAGGCTGGGGAGGTTGCGGGACGGGGACAGTTTTCCTTGCAAACCTGCAGCATTTCTTGTGGAATCACCGAAACGGCCAACGCGAGCTCCTGCGGTACCCTGCTGCGGTTGGTTTGGGGGGGCAGGAGCGCTGCCCAAACATCACCCAGCACCGCTCAGCAGCTCCGGGGGATGAGGGGAGCTTCAACGCCCAGCTCGGTGCAGGGCAGCTCATGCAGAGCATGGGCTGGATGCGGCCCAGCTTGCAATTTGCCAAGCTGCTTGTTTCTTTCTTTTCCTTTTTTTTTTTTTTTTTTTTTTTTTTTCCTTTTTTTTTTCCTTTTTTTTTTTTTTTTTTCTTTTCTTCTTATTACTTTTCTTATACCCAGGGGACGGGAAGGCCGGTGTCCCTCTTAGTTTTTGGAACTGCTTATGTCCTCCTTTTACCGCTGTCTCCTTGCTGAATTAGAGCCTCCCTGTGTCCAGGGCAGAGCACAGAGGACATTGCTACCTCGCTGCCCCAACGCAGGGCCCGTATCGCCCACAGCCCAGCTTCCATGGCTCGGAAAAAGGAGATCCCTTAAAAACTTGCATTTGCAGATTAACTGTAAC